GGCGGTCAGGATAGGAGTTGACCGTACATACTGTGGCAGGGAGTTCCAGAGGATGGGAGAGGCTCTAAAGAAGTCCTGGAGACGAGCGTGGGAGGAGGTAACAAGGGAGACAGAGAGCAGTAGGTCTTGGGAGGAGTGGAGAGGATGATTTGGACGATATCAGATGAGGTTGGTGATGTAGCTGGAGGCAATGTTGTGGATGACCTAGTATGTTGTGGTTAGTATTTTGAATTTTTATATGATGTGGTAGGGAATGCCAGTGAAGAGATTGGCAGAGAAGGACAGTAGTCACGGATAGGCTAGTAAGAAGTGTTAGTCTAGCAGCAGCATTCATAATACACTGAAGGGGGATAGCCTGCGTAAAGGTAGGCCAGTGAGGAGAGAGTTGCAGCAGTCAAGGTTGGAAATAACCAAGGAATGAATAAGTTGGTTTGTGGTTAGTCAGGAAAGGGTGAATTCTGGAAATGTTGCAGAGGTTACTGTGGCAAGATTTAGCCAGTGACTGGATGTGGGGGCTGAAGGAGAGGTCAGAGTCTAGGATTACACCCAGCACCCTGGCATGTGTGGAGGGGCCAATGGTTGTGCCGTTGATCTCAATGGTAACGTCATAGGGAGGGAATTCATACTGATATCTTGCTCAGTATATTTGTGATATGTAAGGAGACTGAGGGGGTGAGTTGAGGGGTCCAGAGATAGATCTGTGTGTCATCAGCATAGAGGTGGTATTGCAAGCTATGGGAGGTTATCAACTGGCCCAGGAAAGAGGTATAGAGAGAGAAGAGGAGGGGCCTGAGGATGGAGCATTAGGGTAGCCCAACAGGAAGAGGAGGAAGGAGATGGTGTTATATGTGGCACAGAAAGTGTGGTAAAATAGGAAGGAGGAGAACTAGGAATGAGTCACGGAGGCCAAGGGAGTGGAGTCTGTTGTGAAGGAGTGGGTGGTCAAGTGAGTCAAAGGCAGCAGAAATGTCTAAGAGCATGAGTATAGAGTACTGGCCATAGCTTTTAGCAGGTAGTAGGTTATTGGTGAGTTTTAGTAGGGCAGTTTCAGTGGAATGTTGTGGGCAGAAGATGGACTGTAGGGGATCGAGAAGGTTGTTGTCAGTGAGGTAGCAACTCATATGGTTGTGGACAAGGCGTTCAAGAAGCTAGGAGGCAAACAGAAGAACCAAAGAAATGTAGCAGAATACATTTTGTTTCCAAAATTTTCAGTCTTTTTTCATTTATTTAATAGAAAAAAAAAACAGTGGTGATTAAGTACCACCAATATAAATCTCTTTTTGTGTGAAAAAAAAATGAGAAAAATTTCATACGGGTACAGTGTTGCATGATCACGCAATTGTCATTCAAATTGTAACAGCGCTGAAAGCTGATAATTGGCCTGGGAAGGAAGGGGGTAAAAGTGCCCGGTATTGAAACAGTTAACGATAAGGAAAGATTTGTGAACAGTAACACATTCAAATAAAATAAAAATATTAATGGGCATTATTTTGCATCTAAGGTTACTCAGGCCACACTGTGCAGTATTTCCTGAAATCGTACCTGCTTGTAATGTAGTATTAAACCAGGAGTGAGGGCCACTTAAGTGATTTGGTAACAAGTCATAGGCCACAATGAAATTAAATTGTTCAATTTATTTTTATGTTGATTAGTATAAATGAAGATTTTAAACAATCAGGATCATCATTTTCCATGGGACTAATCCCTGTTGGATGTCTACCCACTGTGTTGTTTTTTGTTAAACTGTCCACAATCAAAACTGTGATTTTTCTGATTACAGACAAGGGAAGTGCATGCCATGGTAGTGCAATAAACATCTTTATTAAGTTAAAATGACACATAATGCACTCTCATGCTCTTGGAATGACACCAGGCTCGTCACACAACTGTGAGAATCCACCTTTAGAACCCGTGTATGGATGCCACTAGATGTAAAGCACTCGGCTAAAGGCTCCTTTTACAGTGTCTGTGTGTTAGGAAGGAAAGAGAAGAGCAAGGAGTAGGTTACAATAGTGGCTTTTGTATGACAGCCGCTGGGATTATGGAGGACCAATAATCATTCAGTAGAGTGGCGTCCACCTAAAGGAGGCTGTGTGGGCTGCCATAGTTACAACTCGTTTCAGGGGCCTGGCCTGCTTTTTCAAGCATCCTTTACTTCTTAACACACAGACATGGGGAGAGGAGCCTTTAGATTACATCTAGTGGCATCCATACAGGGGTTCTGAAGGTGGATTCTCACAGTTGTGTGGTGAGCTTGGTGTCATTCCCAGAGCATGTGAGTGCATTATGTGTCATTTTATCTTTGCTTAATAGAAAAGTTTATTGCACTAAGGCAATCATATTAGGTTTGAGGTTGCAGGTCACATCAGATGGCACTGCAGGCCACATTTGGCCCATAGGCCGAACATGCCTGCGTTTAAAGTCTATCTATGGGAAAATAAAAATGCTAATTTAGGCCTAGGGTACCAGAAAAAGCAGTTCCCACAGTGGGCACTCTCTTCACTTATTCACATCTTTTTTCATAAGTGGACTGTCTCTTGGCATCCTCACGTTCAATGCAAGGATATTGGCCCTGCACTGTACTTGATGATGGCAGGGGACATGCAACCACCACTGCGTAGGGGAGAAGAGGCTGCGGGCACGGGTCTAGCAGCATGGAGAGAGCCTGCAGGAGTGGGGATTGAATAGGTAAAAGCTCACTGCAAAGGCAGGATTTTTGTTATCACCGGAGTTGTTATGTACAGACTGTAATGTGTATGGCCAGTTTTACAGCAAAGAAAAATAATGGGGATACTGAATATTGATGACCAGACTGCATAGCAATTGCCGGAGACAGATTTAATTTTCAGGTACAGGCCCAAAGCTTTATTAAACATTATTTTTATTACATTCAGATCATACAAAAACAAAATGATAGAGATATATATCTTTTCACTTTACACATTTATAACTGTGTTTTGTGTTCTGCTTTGAGTTCTCCATTGGTCTCTGCTAAATTCTAGCCTCCCACAAATATCTGTTTTCAAAACTACACATATACTACCATAAAAAAGATGGTAGAGATGCCCTTAGTAATCAAATTCCATTTGTCATGTACAGTATGTGGAACAGGCTGGAATAAAAATTCTGACTGCTATTAGCATAAACACATTACACTTCATTTTCTTAATTTATAAGCGCCACTCTATCTCATAAAGGGACACTATAGAAGGTACACACTAGTCCCATGTGCAAACTGTAATATATAAACCCTTCCAAATACATTGGCCTGAACACCAGACAAACCTATATAAGCAAACTGTTCTATAATTCTGTCCAGCCAGTGTTCTGGACACCCTGCCAGACAGCACTGCCAGGTCCTGGAATTCTTTTCACCGCAGGTAAGCAATACAGGACGGTCCTGGACCTGCCCAACCTGTGACTGGATAGTAAAGGAGCAGTGGCATACTGGTGAGGTCATCTCAGTGCTCTTGTATTCTGTAAGCATGCTCCCTGTGTTAGACTCTAAGCCCTGTTGGCAGCAAACAGCCCTGACTTTTTCAGAGTTCTGGCCCTCCATCTACCAATATGAATGCTTCTGTACAGGGGAATACAGGAGGCTGATCTTAAAGACAGAATTCAGGTTCTTCTGCTAGCTGATGTAAAGAATTATTTTTTTTATTGAATATTTACTTGGAATAAGGCTAGGTACACACCTATGCAGGTTGCGTTTGACCTGTTTCTGCATTGCATTTTGCAGATGCATCAAAAACGCAGCATTAACACACTACATGCTTTTCTGCAGCATTTCCATTGAAGTCTATAGGACCAGAAATGAAACTTTTTGCATTAAAAAAGTCCATGACCCTTTCCAAAAAACGAACTAGGTGAAAACATGGAGATATGAACCTGTCCCATAGGAAATCATGTTAAAGGGATTGTAGTGTGTGTCTGAAAAATGCAAACGCTGCAGAAAACGCTTAGGTGCGAACCTAGGGTAAAAGGGATTTGTATGTATCTGTGTGGAGATCAGCCTTAATTAGCTGTAACCGGCAGTATGAGGATAATAAAACAATACATATTATATATAATACTATATATAAAATGTATACAACATGGTTACTCTTTGGTTCTGCTCACAACATGATTAATCATTACAATTTCCTATGAGAAATATTTCCTTATTCTTTAACTCTTTACCATGATGTGCAGTATAAGTTCACCTTTGGGAACATGTTACATGTTCAACCCATTTTTAGGGTGTAACATGTAACATGTTCCCATAGCCGCAGCCGCCTCCCCTCCCTCTGACAGATAGTACAGGGAGAAGTCTCCCCATACTATCTGTCAAATGTGAAAACAGTATGATCATGCGGGGCTCTGCCCACACGGATGCTTCATTCATTCATGGACTTCCGTGAATAAACTGCAAGTCCTGACATCCTTAGTGGCTGTGGCCTGTGAGCTTGTAGTTTTCAATGAACTACTCGGTGCTCCACAGTTCCATAGTTCATTGAAGCTTCCTGTCAGAATATCTGCTTGCTCATACATCCCGTACGCCAAGCAGATATTCTGACAGGTCTGCAGGAGACATGCTTGGCATCACTGATCTAATGATTGCTGGTGCAATGCTTTCCAGGCTCCTGTAGACAAAAAAAAAAATGCACTTTTTTTTACCTGCAAAAAATGTGCATTTATTATTTTTGTCTAAAAGGTGAACTTATTCTTTAAAAGACAACGGCAGCCAAAGTGGGTCTTTCCTCCAATCTGGAACCATGGTGAAGCAATCTTCCCAACTTTTACCTTGGATGTCACTGGAAAGATCGGCTTTTTAAACGAAGCTAAGACTGTCACTGGCTTAGGAGAATATGCTGTATACTCCATTAAGAGTTTCAGGACACAAAAATTAGGTGTCATCAGTCTATTACAATATACACTTGGCTTTCAGATTTCTCTAGGTGGAGTTGTGGAGTAGTTCTTAAAGTTTCTGATATGGTACATCCAGCCTTCACACAGACCATTTATTCAGAATGCTTGGCGCAAACCCATCGAAGCTGGAGCTCCTTGGAGAGGTCTGTCAGTTCATGGACTGACCTCCAGCTGCACTGACAAGCATAGGCTCGACTTCCTTTCTTCCTTATCATCTTTGATTGTAGTTTGCTGTGTTCAGGCATACTGTTCCTGTAACAGGACAACAGTTATATAACATGAAACTTACCACATCCCATCATAAAAAAGGAAACGTGTACAATGGTGCATGAAACATGACTGTGTGTATATACTGTATAGATGTTATATATGTGTGTATATATACTGTATAGATATTGCATACAGTATGTGGGTGAGTGTGTATATTATTATTATTATACAGTATTTATATAGCGCCAAAGGGTATGCTCAGCGCTGTACAGTAGCAAGGGGGACATAACATGAGACAAGACAGTAACAATACACTATACGAGGGGTTTGAGGGCCCTGCTCTTTCGAGCTTACAATCTAGGAGATATATTGATTTATATATGTGTGTATATACTGTATAGATGTTATGTGTGTATATATACTGTATAGATATATACAGATGTGGGTGAGTGTGTATATACTGTATAGATGTTATATATGTGTGTATATACTGTATAGATGTTATATATGTGTGTATACTGTGTAGATGTTATATATGTGTGTGTATATATACTGTATAGATATATACAATATGTGGCTGGGTGTGTATATACTGTATAGATGCTATATATGTGTGTATATATACTGTATAGATATATACAGTATGTGGGTGTGTATATACTGTATAGATGTTATATATGTGGGTATATAAACTGTATAGATATTACATACAGTATGTGGGTGTGTGTTTGTATACAGTAATACCTCGGTTTACAAATGCCTTGGTTAACGTAATTTTCGGTTTACGAATGAAAATCTATAGAAAATAATGACAAATTTTTTTCGCAATACAAAGTCTATGTCAGTACTGATTTTTAAATGCAATTGCCAGCTTTTTTTTTTTTTTTCTCTTCACTATAGCTCACAGGATTAGCTGTCACTTTCCCCGAGTTAACGGAAACTTTGTTTCTTTTAAGAAACTAAAAGGAAATATTATTTCTCTTAACTCCAGGAAATAAACTAAAAGAAAACTTTTTCTCTTTTAGCTGGGGAGAAGTGACAGCTGAATTTTTGAGCTATAGTGAAGAAAAAAAAAAAGCGGTAATTACATTTAAAAACCGTCACAATAATAAATAAAAAAAAACGACGTGGGGTCCCCCCTCCCATCCATACCAAGCCCTTTAAGTATGGATGGTGGTTTGTGGGGTTCTGCGGGCACAAAAAACCTGGTGAGGCGTGTCAAGGTGTTGTCAGGCATATTGTAACTGGGCTTTTTTGTGGCATTGGTGCAGTAAAGGCTTCTTTCTGGCAACTTGACCATGCAGGTAATTTTTCTTCAAATATCATCGTATTATGCTCCTTAACCGCTTCCTGATTGCACTATAGCAGAAATACTGGTACAGGGTGGCACGGGTGTGCAAAATTGCATATACAGTGGGGATCGAAAGTTTGGGCACCCCAGCTAAAAATTTGTATTAATGTGCATAAAGAAGCCAAGGAAATATGGAAAAATCTCCAAAAGGCATCAAATTACAGATTAGACATTCTTATAATATGTCAACAAAAGTTAGATTTTATTTCCATCATTTACACTTTCAAAATAACAGAAAACAAAAAAATGGCGTCTGCAAAAGTTTGGGCACCCTGCAGAATTTATAGCATGCACTGCCTCCTTTGCAAAGCTGAGACCTGCCGGTGTCATGGATTGTTCTCAATCATCGTCTGGGAAGACCAGGTTATGTCAATCTCAAAGGTTTTAAATGCCCAGACTCATCTGACCTTGCCCCAACAATCAGCACCATGGGTTCTTATAAGCAGTTGTCTAGAAAACTGAAACTGAAAATAGTTGACGCTCACAAAGCTGGAGAAGGCTAGAAGAAGATAGCAAAGCGTTTTCAGATGTCAATATCCTCTGTTCAGAATGTAATTAAGAAATGGCAGTCATCAGGAACAGTGGAAGTTAAAGCAAGATCTGGAAGACCAAGAAAAATATCAGACAGAACAGCTCGCAGGATTGTGAGAAAAAACAATTCAAAACCCAAGTTTGACTGCACGATCCCTCCAGAAAGATCTGGCAGACACTGGAGTTGTGGTACACTATTCCACTATAAAGAGATACTTGTACAAATATGGTCTTCATGGAAGAGTCATCAAAAGAAACCTCTTCTACATCCTCACCACAAAAATCATCGTTTTTGAACTTTGCAAATGAACATATAGACAAGCCTGATGCATTTTGGAAACAAGTTCTGTGGACCGATGAGGTTAAAATTGAACTTTTTGGCCGGAATGAGCAAAGGTACGTTTGGAGAAGAAGGGGCACAGAATTTAATGAAAAGAACCTCTGTCCAACTGTTAAGCATGGGGTTGGATCAATCATGCTTTGGGGTTGTGTTGCAGCCAGTGGCACAGGGAACATCTCACGAGTAGAAGGAAAAATGGATTCAATAAAATTTCAGCAAATTTTGGATGGTAACTTGATGCCATCTGTGAAAAAGCTGAAGTTAAAGAGAGGGTGGCTTCTACAAATGGATAATGATCCTAAACACACCTCAAAATCCACGGGGGATTACATCAAGAGGCGTAAACTGAAGGTTTTGCCATGGCCTTCACAATCTCCTGACCTCAACATCATTGAAAATCTATGGATAGACCTTAAAAGAACAGTGCGTGACAGACAGCCCAGAAATCTCAAAGAACTGGAAGACTTTTGTAAGGAAGAATGGGCAAAGATACCTCAAACAAGAATTGAAAGACTCTTGGCTGGCTACAAAAAGCGTTTACAAGCTGTGATACTTGCCAAAGGGGCCAGTACAAGATAATAACTCTGCAGGGTGCCCAAACTTTTCAAGACGCCATTTTTTTTGTTTTCTGTTATTTTGAAAGTGTAAATGATGGAAATAAAATCTAACTTTTGTTGACATATTATAAGAATGTCTACTCTGTAATTTGGAGATTTTTCCATCTTTCCTTGGCTTCTTTATGCACATTAATACAAATTTTTAGCTGGGGTGCCCAAACTTTCGATCCCCACTGTATATACACGTGATTTTGCATTTCTGGGTGTGGGGGCACGTGCGACACGCCCTACCTGCGTCGCCATTCGTGGCCATGGCTATCAATCACTGGGTCCCAGTCGGTGATTACCCACCGGCGCCCTGTGATTACCGACGATCACCGATGGGGAGGAGAGCCGCTTTGTTTACTAACAGTCCTCCTCCTTGTCGGCTCGAGCACACTGCTCTGGATGGCTGTGCACAGCCATCTAGAGCAGTGTGCTTATAGGGAAGCACCAACAAACCGCCCCCTAGTAAAACACTCCTAGCACAGTTTATCCTTTGATCGCCCCTCATGTTAACCCCTTCCTACCCAGTGCCATTATTATAGTGTCAGTGCTTTTTTTTAGCACTGATCACTGTATTGGTGTTAGTGACACCAAGTCAGTTCCCCCAGTGTCAGAATGGCCACCGCAGTCCAGCTATAAGTCGCTGATAGCCGCCATAATCAGTAAAAAAAACAAAAAAAATTCCAGCATCTATACCTCCATTTGCAAATGCTATAACGTTCACGTAAACCAATTCATTTACACGTATTGGGATTTTTTTTTCTAGCAAAGACATGTCGCAGAATACATTTTGGCCTAAATTTATGATGAAATTTGATTTTTTCATTTTTTTTACTAGACATGTTTAACCGCTTCCGTGACGCCCTATAGTAGAAATACTCTTGCTCTCAAAATTTACATAAGTAGGTGAGTGCAGTGCTGTCGGATGAGATTTTTCATCCACAGTTAAAAAAAGAGCATATATGCCAAAGCATGGGGGGCCTGGGGTGACCAGTGGGTGGATGGCCCCTATGCTGCAGCATATATATTTTATAATATTTTTTGGCACAGTTCATGTGTGTCCACCATTAGAAGTGGGTGGATGCAGGGCAGTATATTCTAATGGTGGGCATACCACACACTTTTTCTGGCAGAGATTTCTTCTCTTCTTTCCATTCAGTCCACAGGCAGTCCCGTGCCATCAGGGGAACCTGAGAATGCAGCCGGTGTTTCTGCCAGCTGACCATAGAGTTGATTGGGAGACCGGCATGGTCCCAATCATCTCTATAGTCTAAGAAATCGGAAGCTACGAGCATTTCATCACTTCAGTTTCGCAGGGTATAAACAGCGTAATTTGTAAATTGGGAAAGCATCTGATCACACCGATCTTGGTGAGATTAGATAATGTAAGGGCAGAGGAGATAGCCTGCGTGGGTTTCCTCCGGGTACTCCGGTTTCCTCCCACACTCCAAAGACATGCTGGTAGGTTAATTGGATCCTGTCTAAATTGGCCCTAAAATGTGTATGTATGAATGTAAGTTAGGGACCTTAGATTGTACACCCCTTGAGGGTTAGGGACTGATGTGAATGTACAATATATATGTAAAGCACTGCGTAAATTGACGGCGCTATATAAGTAACTGAAATAAATAAATAAATATCTAGAATATGATAGACCCCAGATTTCTCATAAAATAATATAGGACAATGCCCATTGAAGTTATAAGGGATATTTGCATTCCCTGTGATAGCATTAAAAGTGATCAAAAAAAGAAGAAAAAAAAAATAAAAGAAGAAGAAGAAGAAGAATTTAAAAATCTAAATAACTTAAAAAAAAAAAATGAAAAGCACCCTTGCCCCCCCCCCTCCACGTGCACGCACCTGCGTGCACACACCTGCGTGAGCAAACGTTGACCCTGCGCCAGTATTAAACAGCGGTTGCACCATGCATGTGAGGTATATAGTCGCAAATGTCAGATCAAGGGCAGTAATTCTAGTACTGGATAGACCTCCTCTGTAAATCTAAAATGGTAGTTTGTAAAGACATTTTAAGCGTTGCCTATGGATATTAAAATGTATGCTGTTTTTTTTCGCCATTGCATGGGGCATCCACAGTTTTAAAGCATATCATGTTTGGTATCTATGTACTCGGCATACCATCTTCTTTTATATTTTACCAAACAATTGGCCAATATATTGTGTTTTTGTGCATTATAAGTAAAATAAGTGTATTTATTTTTAAAAAAAAATTGTGTTGGAAAAAAATCGATGCGCGAGTACTATGTGACATATAAAATTACAGCACCCACCATTTTATTCACTAGGGTGTCTGCTTTAAAAAAATATATAATTTTTGGGGGTTCAAAGTAATTTCCTAGCAAACAATACAGATTTTTTTCATGGGAACAAAAAGTGTCAGAAAAGGCTTGATCTTCAGGTGGTTAGAAGAGTGAGTGATGTGTGGCATAAACTTCTAATGCTGGCCAAAATGCCCCCACCCCCCAAAACAACCCATTTTTGGAAAGTAGACACCCCAAACTATTTGCTGACAGGCATCTTGAGTCAATAGAATAATTTATTTTTTTACCACAAGTTTTTGGAAAATGACAAAAAAAATTTTTTTTTTTTTGCACAAAATTGTCACTTAAATGATTTATTGCTCACACATGCCATGGGTATATGTGGAATTACTCCCCAAAATACATTCTCCTACTTCTCCCAAGTATAGGGGTACCATATGTGAGAGACTTTTTGGCATTCTAGCCAAGTACAGGACCCCAAAATCCAATGAGCACCTTCAGACTTTTAAAGGACTTTATTTCCTCATTACTCTTCCTGACTACCTATCACAGTTTTGGAGGCCGTGAAATGGCAGGATAGCACCAACCACCCCCCCCCCCCCCCCTTCCCAAATGACCCCTTTTTGGAAAGTAGACACCCCAAGGAGTTTAAAAAGAGGCATGGTGAGTATTTTTCAGATCTCGTTTGTTGCCACAAGTTTTTGGAAAATGAAGGAAGTAAACAAAAACATATTTTTTCCACCAGTTTGACACCACTGCTTTAATTACATGTAAGGTAATCATTTCCTTGAGGGAAATCTTTATGTCATTAACTTTTTCTGTATTTTAAGTGGTGTACCCCCAGATGGGTGTATTATAACCCCCGCAACTTGGTTAGTACGGACATGATCTTCCTTCCTTAGGTTTGTTACCCTTCCTTTGTATACCTTGACAGATCTGAGCAGTCCAATTTAGCGCTCTAAGAGCAATACTCAGATTTTACCTTTATTAGTTAGTCATTTTGTCTATATTTTACGGTTTCTTGTAAGCACTTCAAGCCAGGGTATGCCCAGATGGCAAATACCTCTTAAACAGCAAAAAAGTAAAAAAAAAAAAACAAAAAAACACATATCTGTATAGTGATAATTAGCACATTGTAATAAATTGTAATTGTAAATAATGATTGCCCCCAAGCAAAACTTCCTTTTATCAGCTTCTTGGAAGTAAAAAAGCACAAACTTATACTGTCATCAAGAATCTTCCCTTGGGACTACATGTCCCTTCATTCATTGTGCACTGCATGTATGCCCCTTCACTGAAAAACTGTGTCCAATGTGAGGGCGCTACTTGTGACAACAAACAGAAGACATGACTTAACCTCCCCAACAGCTGTCAATCACTTTCACTGGAGGAGGAGCAAAGATTATGTAGGTTGTCCTCTTGGGTTGTCTATGCATATCATTGCAGGCAGTGCCAGTGCCTTATAGTGCACATGAATGGGTGGCTTCGTAGGACCTTGATATGCAAAGAAGCCGCTCAAAAACAGAAAAAAGGGACAGCAAATATGAGACTGTTTGAACAAGGAAGAAAGGCATGCTTTAAAATAGGGAGAATCAGAATATAATATATTAGGTGTGGACCTCCTCGGCTGAAATGGAAAAAAAAATAGGGACCTACTCTGCTGAAATGATAAAAAAAAAAAAAAAATAGGGTTTAATATCACTTTAATTCATCCAGTGTGCTGACATATCGTCTAAAAACTACATGCACTACTTCTCTTCTATGGTTTCCATGGTACATAGCAAATACATAACAGATAGATATAGTTCTACGTTTTCAGCTTGAAATTGCGCTTTAAATCAGTTCATATTTGCGCTTAGTGTTATCTCCCCAGGACTAGGCGGAAATATTCCACACAGAAGGGGTCACTAGATTACACTTAACTTAAGTGTGGCAATCTCAGAAATGTACCTGAAGAAGAGGTAGTCGCAGGATGAATCCCATTTGTAGTCATCAAATGACAAAACACTGAAATCACAGCTGGTACACCGCAGCTGGCTACAAGCCCTAGAGCAGAAAAAAAAGAAAAAAAACAACGTTTTTGAGCTAAAGTAGATCTTAGATGAAGAATGCATAAAAGAGAAACACATTAAAGTTCATTAAACCTACAAGGATAACATCATAAATGAAAAGCCTGCAACTATGGCTGTATGTACCTTCACATATCTCAACAGGCACTTTAGAGGCTTTGAATCTGAGGATACTAGATTAGGCAAAGTGCGACTTCAGTTTGAAAAGTTTGTCTCTAAGTCGCTGGACACCCAGGAAGAAATCTAAAGGTAAAACGTAGATAGCTCTATGTGTTGTTTTGCATGCCACCAATTTATTACAGGTGCACTTTATAGCCCAACTGAAGTCACAAAAAATGATATGCAGTCAGATAGACATTATACTAACATCCTCTATTTTCTATATTCATAGTTTTACCTCCTACTTTGTCATAGCAGTTGCACTGGGTTTTAGATGTGACGGTGCAGTCCGCCAGAGGTATACCTAATGCACTCATTAATCAGCAAAACAGAACTGACCTGTCCCCCCCCCCCCCCCCCACATGTCTGCAATACAAGTCTGTGTAATGAGGGGTGTGGCTGTTGCTCAGCTATACAAGTAGAGAGCACTGGAATTTGTGGGTAGAAATCATCATTTCCACTGAAAGAAAAGGGTATTTCAAGGCATTTCTAGGCAAAAATCAGAACATGTGGAGGTACAGAGCAATTAAGAGATTGAAAGATTGAAACGCGTGAGACTTCTGGCTTCAAAGTGTAGCAAAAGGGCTTTTACAACAAGCACATAAATACACACAAATACAAGAAACAACAAGAATGAGAACTCAAACACAACTAGGGCTGTATTTCAAGTCAGTGTTCCTCTAAGGCCAAAATGTGAGCCCATACAACAACCAATATATGAACAATCAATAAGTGGTGTGGCAACAAAGACTAATAAGCCATACACAGTCAAACAGATAAATATAGAGTCTTTAAGGAGAACCTGCACACCCCCCCCCCCCCCCGTTTGTGCTATGAAGCAGATGCCCTGACTTTTTGCCTGCTATTGGGAAATATATACCATGTGGGATATTTATATACTTTTTTGATCTTATGTATTGGTTCCCCTACCTTTTGTTGCATAGGGAGGGTGATGTGTATGACTACCCTGTACCCTGTTTTGACACACGATCTTCCTACAAAGGGTTAATACCTTTTTGGACATCCATGGTCTTTATATACAGTATTATATTATCACACTGGGGCTATAATCCAAGATCCACTTGATTTGGATTGAATCTGTTGGCATTTGGCTTTGCACAACTTTTTATCCCTTGCAGTCTCACATGGGATGCCTATGTGCCAGTATTTGGTGCAATATATGATTTTTTTTGATTACTCATACATACTTTTCCATTCCTTCTTATGAAATAGACATAGTTCTGAGAAACATCATAAATAGTTACTGCCATTCCTCTATTATTTATCAGTGTATTATGGAAGGAAATACTACAGAATATATGAGCTATAGAGTGGATGGTAAAGGGCGGGAGGGGCGGTAATGTATGGGTGCATATGTTGGGACTATAATCTGCATATTATAACTATATCATAACATATTTATAGGGGCACATATTCTATGTAAGCTTTTATACTGATATTTTAGATCATTGATTCTTTTTGGAAATACACCTTAAAAGTCCAGTGGGCACAATATTTTGTTGCACTTTTTATAACAGGTCAAAACTTGTACAGGACTGTGCACCCCCTTCTCTATCCCCCTGTGATGGGTTGGAGAGGTGGGGGGATAATTTCATGTTCCCCCATACTCCAGTATATCTCAGATGGTCCAGTAGTTGATAATGGTGAGAGGTGGACTATAAGAGATGTACATACAGGATCCCTATAGCAATTTTGAACTTGTAATTTTGCCCAGTATGGGAAAACTACAGATTTACTTATAAAAAGTACTGTATTACTACCGGTGCTAGACTATTTTGCAAGACCAGCTACTTGCAACCCCCTTTCCCCCCCAAAAAAATAAAAAACTTCACCTATAGTTCTACTGCACCCCTCTTAGCACACATCCTCTTTCCCCTCAAATGCTCTACCCTAGTACAAATACTCACCCCCAAATCCCCCCTCCTAGCATAAATCTGCCCAATCCTACCTCCTAGCACAACCTCCTCCAAATAATCCTTCCCATCACAAATCCTTCCTCCCCACGCAAATCCCATATCCTAGCACAACCCCCCCCCCTTCCCCAATCCTCCCTTCTAGCAAGCCCCCCCTCCAATCTCCTCTCCGAACACAAATCCCCCCCATCCTTTCTCCTGACACAAGTCCCACCAATCCTCTTTTCCTAACACGTCCTCCCAATTGCCTCTCCTAGCACAAATCCCCCCCCCAGCATCACTCCTCTTCCTTTAATCCCCACATCTAGGACAAATTCCTCCAAATCCCTCCTCTAGCTAACTCCCCTCCAATCCTTCCCAGCAAAATCGTCTCACCTTACCCAAATCCCCTCAAAGCCCATCCCAGCACCCTCCTCGATCCAGCGGCCATGACTGTGCCCCCAGGTGGCAGGGGACCTTAGTTTGCTTAGTGGTAGCACCAGTCCTGGCACTACTCCTTATAACAAAATGACAAAGATTATTTATTATGATTGATGCCAAAAAAAAAAAAATGCAATACAGACAGTAGACATAGTTACAAACAATCACTACACGTTTCAATAAGCTCCTAATTAACTTGCAAGAAGCTCTCCCCAGGTAGTTAGACCACCTTCCCCTCTCCTTTCAAAATCATTCAGTATAGAAAATAGGTATCCTCAGTATATATAATAATTTTACATATGCAGATGTCCAGCTTATGACATAATGGCATCAAACATGTGTCGATGACAAGCTCCACCCTCCTCCTCCTGTAAAGCTCCTCCCCTTTTCCCATAGTAGCACAACTTGGAACCAAAACCTGCACCGCCACTACTCAATGTGTGAATGGTTATTATGCTGCAATTGAATCTATCATTAACAGCCATAATAAATTATATGTATATATTAATTATATGGGCTTGAAAAGGCCAAGCGGGTCTGTGGAAATCCCCATGTGGATAGACCTAAATAATTACGCTGGAAATGTTTATGAGTCATATTAATTATGAAAGCACAACTGCTACTATGGTGTCTTCATTAGGCACCATTATTCCAGGAAACAATGTATCCCCAGCTCTTATTAACAACCTTTTTTCATGAGTCATTAATTAACTTTCAAGAGGACATCTGAAACACAAACACAGTCTTTGATCTCTGCATGGAAGGAGCAAAATTAAAGAGAATATATGGAGAGGAAAATCATTGGACTAGCAAGCATTCTGAATGCTGCAATGGTGCCACCCTCTGGTCAGAATGGGATATAATGAACAAGGCAGGAGAGAATGACTGGGATGTTTTCAAGGCACTATAGCTGGTCATAGACAGACAGATGGCTCACCAATAGTGCAGAGTGATGAGACATGTGCCCGTTCCCACTCATATCACTGGAAACTAATGTGCACTGATCTCTCTCTATGCTCAAACAAGTGAAAGGCCTGTAGGTTCTCTATACAGAAAATGAATTATTGGTATTCAGCAACATCCATATGTTCTGATGTGTTTGAAAATTCTTCAATACCATGCAACCTGTATTAAAAGTGACATTGTACTCTGGTTTAAAAAGAAAACAATTATTTATTATTAATTACAGGTACTTATATAGCGCCGTCAATTTACGCAGTGCTTTACATATATATTGTACATTCACATCAGTCCCTAACTTACATTCATACATACACATACTAGGGCCAATTTAGACAGGAGCCAATTAACCTACCAGCATGTCTTTGGAGTGTAGGAGGAAACCGGAATACCCAGAGGAAATCCACACAGGCACAGGGAGAACATGCAAACTCCAGGCAGGTGGTGCCGTGGTTGGAATTCGAACCAACCACCCTAGTTCTAAGTATGTATTCCTAACTCATAAAGGTCGCTTCGATTGCCTCCTCCGGCTACGTGTGTTCTTCATGGTCCCACTGCATACAGGAATATAGCTTCCTTCTCTTTCTTGCTCCTCGGATAGACCATAGACTATGGGATGTGTAGTTTGCATAGAGCAGTGTACATGACCACAACTAAAGTGCACTCTTCATTCCAAACAAATGGAAGAGAAAGGAATAAGAAGTGGTTTGGGAGCTCATGGAGGGCATTACAGGGAAACAGAAAAACGCAGCAAGAAATAAATTTTATGAAAAATAGATTACAGGGCCATTAAAATGGTTTTAAAGCCTGAAGGTTTTTTTTTTTTTTTACCTAAATGCATACTATGCATTCAGGTAAAAACCCTTCTGTATCACAGAATGCCTCCCAGCTCCCTCCACATACTTACCTGAGCCCTTTCGCTATCCAGCACTGTGCATGAGTGCAGCAGCTCTCTCCGCTTTCTCCCTCCTCACTGGGCAGACTGATAGCAGCAGGAGCCATTGGCCATCAATTAAATCCAGTGGCGAGGGGGCGGGGCCGAGCCAATTTGTGTGCGTCAATAGATGCAGACAGGGCGGCTCGAGCCCGCACAAGTGCTCTCATGGAAGGCATCTTTCTATTGGGGCATTAGCCAAAGAGGAGAAGCCAGGAGCAATAGTGAGGACCCCAGAGGAAGAGGGTTGGGGCCACTCTGTGCAAATCAATTGCACAGAGCAGGTAAATATGATGCGTTTCTTATTTTTTTTTTTTTCTACATAGCCTGATCCTTAATCACCGAGTGCTTGTTCACACCACTTCAGTTGAACTGCATTGATCTGCACAGAAAGCAATTGTTATATTTATGTGCCCTTTAATACCATAACGCTGCAGTAAAGTGGATTGTGCTGCAGTGAGCATTTTTTTTTGCATGACATCTCACCAACATAAAGAAATGAATGAAATGTCATTAATATTAAAAAAGGAAAAAAATAGGTAAACAGCGCCTTGAGTTGTAGCAACACAAGGCACCACCCTGCACCACCTGCAGCATATGGGCTGCTGTGAACGAATCTGAAAATGATGCAGTTCTCTTTGTTACTAGCATCACTTGTCTGTAGTGTGTGAGCCCTCTTCATGCTTCACATGGCTGATAACCTGCCTACTAGAAAACTGCTAAGTTTTGACTTACCTACCTGCTTTTTATGCCAGCCAATAGTTGTGTAATGGGGGAAGTCACATGCCCTTTCTGCTCCTTTTCAGTTAAAAATACAAAAAGATGCAGCTAAAAAATTAATGATTTGTCAATTATTACATATAGTTACATAGTTAGTCTGGCTGAAAAAAGACAAAAGTCCATCCAGTTCAACCATTAAAAAAAAAAAAAGGATAATATAATAGGATAATATAAAATGGACAGACTCAGCAAAGCTCCCCTCACCTACTGTGAGCATGGAAAATATTCCCCCTTCCTCTCCAGCAGTTTGCCTGATTGGTGATGCACCGAGTATTGTAACATGGGTGGATTGAGTGGTCAGCCATGTGTAAATTCTGACTTGAAGCCTAAAGTGAACCTTGTGTGAAATGCAGGTCAGCTTCTTTTTTGCCCCTTTTCCCCCATTAAAAACATATAATAAGAAAAAGTAAAAAATTAAACACCTTGCACCCTGGCTTCCTGTAGGAGTTACGTCCCTAGGTTTTCTTTCAGGATCCTGGGAAAGTATGGCTGGACACATGCATGTGATGAAAAAGTATTTGCCCCTTTCTGTTTTGTTTTGCATATTTGCCATACTTAAATGATTCACATCCTCAAGCAAATTTTAATATTACACAAAGATAACCTGAGTAAATACAAAATGCAGCTTTTTAAATGATGATTTAATTTATTAAGGGAAAAAAAGCTGTCCAAACCTGCCTGGCCCTATGTGAAAAAGTAATTGCCTCCTAAACCCCCTGCTGCATAATCCAAGTGTTCTTGAGCTTCGGGAACTAATGACCGGACATTCTCCTTCTGGATTTTCTGGTAGAGAGCAAAATTCTTGGTTCCATCAATTATGGCCAATCGTTTAGGTCCTGAATCAATAAAGCAGCTCCGGACCATCACACTACCACCACCAATGTTTGATTGTTGGTATGATGTTCTTTTTATGAAATACTGTGTTAGTTTTACACCAGATGTAGCAGGAGACACACCTTTCAAAAAGTTTAACTTTTGTCTCACCAGTCCACAGAATATTTGCCTAAACGTCTTGGGAATAGTCAAGATGTTTTTTGGCAACTGTGAGACTAGCCTTCATATTCTTTTTGGTCAGCAGTGGCTTTTGCCTTGGAACTCTCTCCTATGGATACCATGTTTGCAAAGTCTCTTATTGTCCTTATTGTTGAATCATGAACACTGGCCTTAACTGAGGAAAGTGAGGCCTGAAGTTTTTTAGGTGTTGTTCTAGGTGCTTTTATGTTCTCCTGGATGAGTTGTTGTTGTGCTCTTGGAGTAATATTAGGAAGCTGGGAAGGTTCACCACTGTTTCAAGTTTTCTCCATTTGTGGATAATGGCACTCACCATGGTTCACTGGCATCTCAAAGCCTTAGAAATGGCCTTGTAACCCTTTCCAGACTGATACATGTCCATTACTTTGTTTCTTGTCTGTTCTTGAATTTCTTTAGATCGCAGCATGATGTGTTGCTTTTTGAGATCTTTTAGAGTGCTTCACTTTGTCAGACAGCTTCTATTTAAGGGATTTCTTCATTCAACAGGTCTGGCAGAACTAATGAGAACTAATGGCCTGGGTGTGGCAATTGAAATGTAACTCTGCCTTCTACAATATGTTATTAATCACAATTAATTCATGATTTAGCAAGGAGGGAAAAGGGGGGGGGGGCAGTTACTTTTTCACATAGGGCTAGGCAGGTTTGGACAGCTTTTTTTTCCTTAATAAATTAAATCACCATTTAAAAACTGCATTTTGTATTTACTCGGGTTATCTTTGTGTAATATCAAAACATGCTTGATGATCTTATTCATTTCAGTTTGACAAATCTATAAAAAAAAAAAAAAAGAATCAGGAAGGGGGCAAAAACTTTTTCACTGCACTGATCAGATTTTTTTGTTCAGCCTGCTTTACAGATGGACGAACCCCCCTTGCTGGGGTGGCTATTGCATACTGGCAGTCTACAGCAGCTGTCAGAATACCCAAACAGTGGCGGCATCTGCTTGGACGCAGCTGCTGTTCAGTCAGCAACTTTCCGCTTTGTCCCTTGGATTTTTCAGAGCCAGTTCACACCATGAATCTCAGAGGAACGCACTGTGCATTCCTGTGCGATTCACCATTGATCAGAGTCCAGTGTGATTTCAGCGGTTTCATTTGAAAGGGGCTGGAATCGTGCCGGACTGCACCAAAAGTAGTACATGCAAGTACGGGACAAGGCATGGGTGGAAGGGGCACCTGTCCTGGTGTAGATGCAGGGGCGCACTTGAAGTCGGAGCAGCAACCCACTCTTCTTTCACAGTAGCTGCAAACAAATGCAGGAAAGTAAAGTGTTAAATTGCCTCTAGGCTCAATCTTATTTACTAGTGTGATTGGACACAGCTGGATCACATGGTAAAAGGCTGCTCTGATTAGCCCTTTACTTGGATCTATGATCAGCTGTTTCCGAAGGACATAGCGATCAGAGATTGTGCCCGATGCATGCACCAGGGGCCTGCGGGGAGTGTGGTTCTGGGAGGATGTGCATGGACGCCCTCCCTGAACTAGCTGACCGCGCTGTACCCATCTTTTGGCTATAACGCGGTCGGGAACTGATTAAACATTAAGGTATTTGTTTGAAAAAAGCTGACTATATTCCATAAGACTCATCTTAAAATGAACAAAAACAATAATTACTTTTCTACTCTCCAAAAGCAAGTAATACTTCACATAATCTAATCTTTTATGACACAATACTTACCGTTCAGATGTATTTGTCCCAACACCAAAGGGAAGCACAGTCCCACCTAGGTAGACCGGACAACACCTGGAATATAGAAATGTAACATGTAATTGGAATCTTACTTTGACATAAATTCACAATATTTAATGACTTCATAGCAATAATCACTGTTGAGCTCAATGTTTTTTTTTTGTAGTCCATGCACTTCTCCACAATAATTTCACTAAAGCCAAAAACAAAATTCTAATATATTGCAACTCACCAGTTCCTAAATGTGGTGACCACAATTTTCTTATTTTAGGCTTCTCTTTTTCTGTTCTAGTGATCTGGCCAGTAGCACACTTCCTGGCTTAGGGTGTCTCCATTCTGGATGAAGGAACAATGGAGACACTTGTGGACAGCAGCATAACTTTCCTGGAGACTAAATAATATACACTGGTTTGGATTTCACCAAAGAAATGTAGAAGAATACAGTTTGGCCTAAATTTATGAAGAAAGATTATTTATTTGCAAATTTTTCAGTCTTTTTTCCTTTATTTAGCAAAAATGAAAAAACCCAGTGATAAATACCACCAAAAGAAAGCTCTATTTGTGTGAAAAAAGTATAAAAATTTAATATGGATACAGTGTTGCATGAGCTTGCAACTGACATTCAAAATGCGACAGCGCTGAAAGCTGAAAATTTGCCTAGGCAGGAAGGGGGTGAAAGTGCCGGTACTGAATTGATTAAAGTGGACCTTTATCCTCTAGATCTAGATGCACTGGGCACCTTTGCTCTACCACTCTGCAATGTAATACGGCAATTTGTGTCATCCTGTCTAGGCAAGAATGATGTCATCAGTGTTGTAAAGCCTCCTGGGTTATGTCACATATCCCAGGATGCTTCAGGTCCCATTCACAGAAGTCTGATCAATTTAACCTATATATATTAAACATTAAAAAGTTAATACTTCCTCCCTAAAGTCAGATTATAGAATCAAAGTTTGACTTGAGCTATGATGAATTTTAGCTTTCCTAAATTTCTCAAGACCTGAAGAAGTTTGGTTTTGTAAAGATCACACAAGCTGCCTCATCTTTAGTCTCATCTGTTAGTCATGAAGAACACTCAGAACATTAAAATGAAAGCTTTGGGGCTTTTATCCCTTATTTCATCCAAAATGTCCAAACTGAAAAACTCAAACCCTTTGAGGCCAATGAGAGTATTGAAGCTTGATTTCCACTGTCCATGTTCAGCTGCTCGGTCTTTTTTTTTTTTTTTTTTATTCTTGTGATTCAAACAACTTTCACGCAGGATTCACACATTTTCCAAATTGAATCCAAGTGGCAAATGTGTGAAACTGAAAAAAGTACAAAGAAACCCTTAAGATTTAGATCACCTCCTCTTACATCTCAGCTCCTCCCAGAGGAGCCAAGGGGAAATAGATCTGGCTGAACATTCATTAAAGGGGACTGCTATTCAAATGAAAAAAGAATCACGCATCTGGGCCTCTGCTTGCATCGAATATTAATCACATACTACAGAGCTTTGTGTTAAAGCTTAAATGTATGTAAACTCTTTTGGTCTGTTAAAGAAGAACTAAAAGGCAAAACTTTTTTTTTTTCACTTTCGATAGAATAAGGCTACATTCATGCTGGTGATTAAGGTTGGTGTGAATTGTAGCGGCAGTTATTGCGGAGGCTCTCATTGGCCAGATTCGGCCGCTGGCGTCGTTCACTATAATGACAGGTCGTTGGTGGATGGAGCTATGCGCAGCTCTCTGCACAGCCAGCGATTACCTACAGTGATTGCTGCTGGAAGCATACAAAGTTACTGGTGATAATCGCTGGCTGTACAGAGAGCCCTGAATAAATGGGGCTTCGGCCGATCTGTCATTATAGTGAACAGGGCCGGCTGCCACACCTAGCTGCTGAGAGCTGCAGCAGGAATCCCTGATTCCTGCTGTTACAATTCACACCTGTCCTAATTGCCAGTGTGAATGCAGTCTAAAGGTGGGTTTTAACCATTGTTTTCTTTTGCCATCTATGTCCCATTGGGGAGATTCCCCTTCATTTCCTGTCCTATAGCCAAAACAAGAACTGAATGGAAGTCCTTGGTTGTCCCTGCTTCCCCATTGGAAGATGTCCCCTCTAGTTCTGTTCTGGTGACAACCCCAAATTTGTGCTTTTCTTTCATTTTCAATGATAATGGTAAACAGGACAACTAGAGAGGGTGAATCTCTCTAATGGGGGCACAGACAGCAAAAACGTACCAGGGGTTCTAACCCCCCTCTGCTCTATCTTTAGCTATACCTTAAATATACCATTGAAGGTGTTTTGTTATATCTGTTTGAGAAGTGCAAAAAAGAAAAAAAAAAAAAAGCTGTTCACCCAGCCAGAAATCTTGTGAGCTGACAACTCCATGTTTTCTGTCTTTGACCTGTTTATCAGTTAGCATTGTTCCCTGTAGATTCCTGTAGACCACAAAACACCTCCCAACAACGGTATGTAGTCCGTAGTACCACCTGTACTATGGTGACAATGCTGATCAGTACAGTTGTCACCCCAGAATAGGAAGTGTGTTAATGTCAGGATCACCAGGTTAAAATAAAGGAAAAAGAATTATGAAAATAGAAAACTAATGCAGGCACCACACCTGAGGATCAGTAAGCTTCAGTACTATCAATTACTGGGTTTGGATACGCTGTAGATATTAGCATACATCTTTGTCTCACACTTTGCTCTATACTAATTAAAGCTTAAATTCAGACATTTGTTTAGGTTTTGGATTGAGTTTGGAAAAGTTACAACCGCTGTCCATGTTTTAGTATTGTCTGAGCTCCCATTAGGATGTTTTTTTTTCATTCTCTGCTCCATTGATAGGGTGTCATAGGGACAGTAAATTATAGAAAACTGAGGACAGCAACAAAACAATTTAGGACTTGTTCACACCAGCCCACGTGCTGAAATGAGTGGTTGTAGTATGCGTGCTGCCCTTCGCTATCCAGAGCAGTGAGGGGAAGTGCCTTGCATTGTTGAAACGCCAGGCACTCTTACTTTTTTTTTTACTTTACTGAAATGTCACAAAATGACATATTTAATTTATTTCTATACACCGCAGCTCAGTTACAGTGTGGTGAAATGTGCCACCATCAGGTGAGGTGCAGTGCAAAAAAATCCAGCATGTCTGCATTACTACCCACCTCAATGCAGCATTTTGTGGGGGAACAGGGCTCAGCAAAAACAATTGTTTTCTATGTGCTTATGTACACTCAGTGATCTGTACAGATGAATGCTAAACGCACATGATGTGAACAAGCTCTTAGAAGAACTGGAAATGTCAGAACCTATCATAGGTTTGACTGCTGTTGCTGGCACACTGGAAATATTTCCTCTCACTTCATTTTCCAGTGACCAGGACAGGACGTGATAGGAAATCTCTCCTATGGGGACTGTTACAGTGGTGCAGGAATGGCACGTTCCATGAGCGTTTCCTGCACTACATTTGAATGTGCTGCCCTTGTGATCTGAATGCAGATGACAATATGTGGTTTATGGCACCCTTGTGCAGATCACAACATGGCGTTTACGGGCACCAAATCGCATGCTACCATAATACCATGCAGTTTGGTGCAGTGCGTTTTTGAAAGTAGTGCAAGCACTACTCCTTGTGCAATGAATGGGCTGTCAAGACGCACTGCACGGGACTGTGTGCCTTCCTGTGAGATCCTGGTGTGAATCAACCCATAGTGATATTCTGGTAGATGAGCTATGGAGTCAAGAACAAGCAAGTTAAAGCTTCTGGTAATCAATATTTTTTACTCACTTTTTACTGTGTTGTTGACTGGTATTTTTACTGGGTTTCTGATTCGAAGGTTTTGTTCTATGTGCCTAAAACAGAAATAATAAATGTTATCCTGCTGTTACTGGTCAGTAAATCAATTATATGTTATATTCATCCCCGTTAATGCATATCTATGGCCGAAGTGTAAAATGAAAATTAATTTATGCTTTGTGTTTCATTTATTTCTAGCCTACTCCTATTAATTTGAACAATGTAAACTTTGTGAAGATCTCCACACATTTACTTCCTCTAAGTCTCTGAGGTATTCACTATGCCCTGTGAGTAGCACTGCTGTGTCACACATTTCACAGAGCCGGTCTTCTGAAATACAGAGGTGCTGAGAGGAGGAGCATAAGGAGGCGGAGTCAGTGCAGGAATCACACCTTGCAGGCAACAAATTTACCATCGGATATGTAGTCCTTAGAAATTGAAATTCAACAGCGGAGGGGAAGCTGCAAATCATGCAGGGAATCCAGGAAGTTGTGGAAAGAGACCAGCAGACTGGCAGGACTGAAAGGAGATTTTTCAAGTAAGATTATATAGGATTGTCAATAATAACTATTGTTTGTATTGCTTTTACAGTGCTGATGAGATGAAAGTGTAAGCTGTGAACGGCTCTGTGATGTCAGCTGAGAGCAGACTTTAGCCCACTGTCGGCTGTCAGCTAAATCTGGGTCACAGGAGTGCAGAACTAAGTGCACTACTGTGACCCACAAAAGTATAGCTTTGGCCATACTTCTCCTTTAAATCTGAAATATGCCAAGCTGAAATTATAACACCACCACCAGTGTGAACATAATGGCAAAAGATCTGCTGCATCAAATCAAATTTATATATATATAATTCCTGACAGCTTGACTGATAAGTAGTGGTGCACCGAAATTAAAATTCTGGTGCCGAAACTGATACTGAAAATTCAGAATGCATGTGGCCGAAAACCAAACTGAAACCAAAAATGTCTGCTTATGTGGGGGTGGGGAGGCTCCAATTTTTTTTTCCTACTGTCATGTGTGTGTATATATATATATATATATATATATATATATATATATATATATATATAAAACAATTGCTAAATACCTTTTCTCATCAGCAGTTGGAGCAGTCTTGTGACTTCAGTAGAGCACTGGTTAAAGCTTGTAGGAGCAGCTTTCTTTCTGCTCTAGTAGGATGCAAAACCCTTGACCTCTGTCTGGACAGTGCTGATTGGCCCTGTGCTGATCACGTGCACTCTCCCAAGAAAAAAAAAACCTCTCTAGAAATACACACCAAACTGAGTATAGGCAGTATCTCCACACGATATGTCTTATCAGGAGATAACAGGGGGACACTGGAAGAAGGGGAGGATCAGAGAAGTCAGGATCAAACAGCCTTTTTTACACAATGCAGACGATTAACCCCTTACGTTCCACAGTGAGTATAACAAGCATGCTTTACTGCATATACAGACTGATTTTACTGCTGTGGGTTTAGTAACACTTTAATGTGTACTTTTTTGTGATCAGTTATGAAACCAGCCATCTTATGGCTTGACAGTTTTGTTGAGAGCACAAGCAACTCTGACAGATATTCATGGCATTCCTTGAATGTAACTGTTTTGGGATGGGTTTAGTTCCACTTTAACACTGTTCACGTGGAAATGTTTGTGCCATTGTTCACGTGTTCAGCATTAAGAACAAATGTACACTAAGGATCCTGAACACCAATGATGCTAGGCGAAATAAGCTGCCTAAATCACCTCTATGGCTGCACAGTTGGTCCAATGTCCCCCATTGCCTCTAAGCCGAGAACTCAGCAATCACATGACTGCTGATGACTTAGTTCTTGTTGAGCTCAGCAGTCAGTCACTGCACTCTGCCATGCCCCTCCAGTGCTCACTGGAGCACCAGGTAAGGAAGGAAAGGGGATGGGGGGTTTCTAGGCCTGAGGCTCAGAGGCTGAGCCAGCTACTGGTAGGGAATCTGGATGGATCCTGACATTATTGTCGGGATTCTTTGAGATTCTGGGACGACTTTGTGACGTCAGCCGACAGCAGACTTTGGCCCTCTGTCGGCTGATTCTGGGTTACAGGAGAGCACAAGTAAGTGTACTCTTGTGACCTAAATGAAAAGTATGGACAAAAAGCTATGGTCAACTTCTCTCTTAACTCACATTTATAAGTATACAACTTTAATATTAGATTTTTAACATATTCTTTGTGTTCAGATTTAGTTCAGAAAGCTGAATGAAGAAGGAAGACTTACTGCCAACATTGATTTCTGCTTCTTACAAATAGTAATTAGTTACAGGCTCCAATACATCTGACTGAGAAAAGTGACCCATATTATATGTACCTTGTCTTCGTGTAAGTGAACATCAAGTATATCTTCAATCAAATCATCAACGTCTTCCTCATCAGTGGACACATTCACAATGGCGTTCTTCGACCTGCAAATAATCAGAGATCCTACTTTAGAATCTATTCATGGACAATTCACAGCAATACAAGCCCGTATCTAGATTAGTCCGATTACCAGTACACAGCATGGAGGAAACATTTCCACCCAGCTAATCAACTTTCTTCACCCCTCTCACCATCCATGGATTTTTTTTTAACACTTCCAGGTAAATGTTTACATTTCCATCTACATCATTTAACCTCCAGGGGATTTACCCCCCTTCCTGACCAGGCCATTTATATGGCTCTGTGTTACTTTAACTGACAATTGCGCGGTCTTGCAGCACTGCACCCAAATGAAATGTACGTTGTTTTTCTTCCCATGAATTGAGCTTTCTATCGGTGGTATTTGATCTCCTGCGTGTTTTTTATTTTTTGTGCTATAAGCAATAAAAGACTGACAATTTTAAGAAAAAAAAGCTATATTTTAACTTTTTGCTATTAACCACTAGCCTACAGGGCACTTATACCCCCTTCCTGCCCAGGCCAGTTTTCAGCTTTCAGTGCTGTCCCACTTTGAATGACAATTACGCGGACATGCCACACTGTACCCATATGACATTTTGATCATTTTTTTTGAGACAGATAGAGCTTTCTTTTGGTGGTATTCAATCACCTCTGGGTTGTTTATTTTTTGCTAAACAAACCAAAAACAACTGAAAATTTTGAAAAAAACATTTTTTTTCTTAGTTTTTGTTATAAACTTTTGTAAATAAGTGATTTTTCTCCTTCACTGATGTGCGCTAATGAGGCTGCACTGATGGGCACTGATAGGTGGCACTGATGAGGAGGCACTAGTAGGTGGCACTGATGGGCATTGACAGGCATCACTGATAGGCACTGAAAAGCAGCACTCATATATGGCACTGATAGGTAGCACTGTTAGGCGGCACTGTTAGGCGGCACTGATGGGCACCAATATGTGGCACTGATGTGCACTGGTAGGACACTGATATGTGGCACTGGTGTGACATGATGAGCACTGACAGGTGGCATTGATGGGCACTGACAGGTGGCACTGCTGGGGCTACACTGATCATCAAGGCACACTGATCATCAGTGCCCTGATGATCAGTGTACATGTCTTCTCTGAGGAATGGCGATTACCGGCTCTCCTCTCGAGCTGTCAGCGTGACAGCTTGTGAGGAGAGAAATGCCGATAACCGACATTAACCGACATTACATGCTATCAGCTGTGATTGGACGCAGCTGATCACATGACCGAGCCAACATCTTCGGCTCTTTCCATTGATCGGTGATCCGCTGTGTCCAAGGGACACAGCACACCGCAGATCGCTGTGCTACGTGCCCCCGGAGCTGCACACGTGCAATTAGAGTGGGAGGACGTCATATGACGTCCTCCCAGAATGAGAGAACCGCCTTGTGCCCATCATTAACTTATATGGCGGGCGGGAGACGGTTAAGCATGTACAGTAAAAAAAAATTTACAAATTCAATTTCGTCATAAAATGAGGCCAAAATGTATTTTACTACATGTCTTTCCTAAATATAATCTCAATATGTGTAAATTAATTGGTTTACGTGAAAGTTATAGTATTTACAAATGGCGTTATATATACTGGAATTTAGAAAAAAAAAATTTTTTTCTAGTAATGGCGGCGATCAGCGACTTATAGCGGGACAGCGGTGGGCATTCTGACACTGGAGGGAACTGACCTGGTGTCATTGACATCCCCAGTGACACTAATACAGTAATCAGTGCTAATAAAAAGCACTGACACTGTACTAATGGCACTGGGCAGGAAGGGGTTAACATGTGGGATGATCAAAGGGTTAATTGTGTGCTGTTTTACTAAGAGGCTGTGTTTCACTGTAAGCACCAAGCCCGGATCTAAGGGGGTGCAGGGGTGGGCTATGCCCCTCCAGATTTTAGTTGTGTACCCCCAAACCTCGGAGAGTGAATTCACAAATCCATGAGACCTAATCGGAACAGTTGAAGAGGGCACTCTGAGGGGGCAATTAACAAAAGGGGGCACTCTGATGGGGACAGTTGATGTAAGGGGATGCTCTGATGGGGACAGTTGATGTAAGGGGGCACTCTCTGATGGGGACAGTTGATGTAAGGGGATGCTCTGATGGGGACAGTTGATGTAAGGGGATGCTCTGATGGGGACAGTTGATGTAAGGGGGCACTCTGATGGGGACAGTTGATGTAAGGGGATGCTCTGATGGGGACAGTTGATGTAAGGGGGCACTCTGATGGGGACAGTTGATGTAAGGGGGCACTCTGATGGGGACAGGTAATGTAAGGGGGCACTCTGATGGGGACAGGTAATGTAAGGGGGCACTCTGATTACAGGTAATGTAAGGGGTTAGCACTCTGTTAGGACACCTGATGTATGGAGGGACTGTTATAGGAACTTTGATGTAAGGAGGAACTCTGAGAACTCCTGATATAAGGAGGGACTCTGTTAGGGACACCTGACATAGGGGGGCACAGGTTCTGTTTAATCACCCTAAACTAATGACAGCATTCACAGTTCACTCCTGCACCACCTCTGCACTACCTGTAAAACGTTACGTCCAGGTCATGACTCCATGGTACAAAAGTATGCCGAGTGAACAGGGAATACTGGTTCCATGAATCCCTGTCACACTAAGGACATTATGCCCCCTGGCTTTTGTTACTGCACCCCCAGATCAGACAGGCAAGATCCGGCCCTGATAAGCACACTGCTTTGTACGGCTCTACTATGCAAAGCCATACAAAGCAGTGTGCAGGAGCCGACAAGGGAGAGATCTGTGTTGTTTACACACAGGTCTCTCCCCCGTCGGAGATATTTGGCGATCACCGGGCGCCAGCGAGAAATCACCGGCTGGGACCCAGTGATTGACAGCCGAGGTCACAAATAGTGGCGTTGGTAGGGCGTGCGCGCTGCCCTACCCGGAACTGCTCAATCACATATATATATACACGTGATTTTGCAGTATTTCTGCTATAGGGTGGCGCGGAAGCGGTTAAAGGAATAGTTCACCTTTACCAAAAAAAAAAAAATCCTTATGCAGATAAGTGGCATCTGTATATAAAAACAAATTGTGCAGCTTTGACCAAAGTCGAATAATACCCTTCCTAGAGGTGTAGGTAAGATTTTTACGTACCTCCTGAAGCACTGAAAAACTCCCAGAGATGGCATCATCCCCACCCTGCCTTACTAGGATTTTGTAAGACATTTCCAGCTGTTACTGCTCACCCCACCATCACAGGAGCGAGTTTTCAAACTCCCGCACAGGCGTGGTCCATTATCTCCTCCACTGCAGCATTACTGAGCTCAGAGCTACTGCGACAGGGGAGAAAGAGAGAGCACATGTGAGGGACTTTGAATTGGCTGAGAGTGTCTTAGCAACATCCTAGCAACAAGGCAGGACAGCAAGATGTCATGTCTGGGAGTGATTCGGCCAGGCTTTAGGAGCTATATAAATGGTCTGCTACACCCTATAGCAAGGGCACTATCCAACTTTGGTCAAAGCTGTGCAGTTTGTTTTTATCTACAGACGTCACTTATCTGCATAGGCAGTTTTTTGGTAAAGGTGAACTAACCCTTTATATACTGTATGAATGGAATAATTGCTAACATTAAAGTATAACATAGTAAAACGTTTTTAAATTTTGGATAGAGAGGGACTAGAACCCCTGCCAGATTTTTTATTGATGTGTCCCTGTAGGGAGATCCACCCTCTCTAATTGTCCTGTGTACCATTTGTATCGGAAGTTAATGTGAAAGAAAATCCTAAGGAAATGGAACTTTATAAAGATAAAAAAGCAAATAAAAAATGTCCAAAGCCTTGAAAATGCCAGTCAGTACTATTAAATCACTTATTAAGAAGAGGAAACTTGGGGGATTCTCTTGATACCAAGCCAAGGTCAGGTAGACCAAGAAAGATTACAGCTATAACTGCCAGAAGAATTCAGGATACAAAGAAAAAACCCACAGGTAACCTCAGGAAAAACATAGTCTGCCCAAAAAAACGACAGTGTGGTTGTTTCAAGGAGCAGAATATGACGATACTTTATGGCAACTCCATCATGCAGTTCATTTTTGTTAAAGAAGACTTTACTGCGCCAATGCCACAAAAAAGCCAAGTGAGGCATGTCAAGATGTTGTTGGGCATATTGTAACCAGGCTGTTGGTGGCTCACAAGGGAATTACTGATAAAGTTTTAGTGAAAAAAGTTACTCCCAAGCACTTGGAAATCCCCTCCAAAAATTGTTGACCCCTTGCATGAACAAGCACATACAAATGTAAATACACCCGTCAGGGGCACCCAGGGATAAAAACAATGCTTGTGCTACTAGTGGTGCACCGAAATGAAAATTCTTGGACCAAAACCGAAAATTCAGCATGTATTTTGACTGAAAACAAAAATCGAAATGGACAGTTTAAGAAAAAATATTTTAATATATAATTGTATTATATTTGACTTTTTAATTATTATTGTAGCACTACCCCCTTAGAGTGATACTAAACCCTGGACCCTGCATTCACTATATCTGGTCTACCACAGTACACACAACATGGAAGTGCAATTAGTTTAGTAAATATAAACTGTTAAATACTAGAGATGCACCGAAATTTCGATGGCCGAAACATTTCAACCAAAAACACCCCTATCAGCCATTGGCCGATATGAAAAAAAAACAAACACTGATACAGGTGCTGAATATAACTTAAAATAGTGAAGGGTAACAATTGGCATAAGATAGCTCTCTTTGGATGTCAAAGGCCAAAGGCAACAGTAGTAGGAATCCTGCTCAGCTTGGATGGTGAGACTGTGATGCACATGCATCCCAACAGGGTTGGCTGGGAGACCTAGGCTGCAACCTGGGGTAACTATATGTAATGTTCACAACTATGTGCAGGTAGATAGCTGGGGTGATGAAACTGTCAGTGTTCACTTAGTGAATACTTGGGACTCTTTCATCCGATCAATATGGGTCGGCAGCTTATAGCGGTCCAGCTTTTCCGGCAGA